GATAAAATGCGGAGTAGGGAATAAAATGGGGACGAGGGGATAAAACGTACTTAGCTAACATTCACACTCATGTAGGAAATTATTAATTTTTAGTGGTAATGGCTTACCTCTTTGGCTTTGGGAGCCTCTGTTATATATTTTTCATAAAGTTGTGGGTTTGCTGGTGTGTATGTGGTATCCAACTGTGTGTAGTTATTCTCAGAATCTGAGTTTTGAGACTCCGTTTCTTCATAGATGTCATCAATATATTCATAATCTCCCCCTGGTCGATCAGTGGGCTTTTCATACTTGTGCCCTCTTGAGAAGCTTTCATTTGAGGGAGTCTTGTTACCGCTTTGTTTCCATCCCACAGTGCTGTATGGGGACTTCAATTTTATATTCTGCGTTTTCTTGTCAGTTTTGTTTTGTTTTGACTCTGATTTCTGTCCTGCTATCGACAATCGTTCAGGAGGCGCCTTGTAAAAATAAATAATAGAACGCGTATGATATTAATTTGGATGTTTAAATGATATACTGTACTATAAGTAATTTTCTTTAAGAAACAACATTTTTAACTAGTTTTCCTACAATTTACAATATACTGAATAATGCCCCCACTATGCTTTGTGGTATTGCAATGTCAGCTTTATAATAGTTTTGTTTGTGTGGAAACACCACGTAAATTTATTACTGCAGTAATAAATTTACGTGGTGTTCCCACAAACAAAACTATTATATGTTTTATCGCCATGCAAACTTACAAAGAACTTAATGTCAGCTTTGATAGAAGTTTTCAGATTTTTATACTAGATAAAATAATTATCCTATTAATTCATATCCTATTAAAATAATTATCCAACTATTTGCCTTGGGGGCGACACCAATATTTCAACTTGTCCAAATTATAGAAATTAGGTCAAAAGTATTTCAGGCTTTTAAGAGGAGAAGTTTAAAGAGAATTCACTTATTCACACCTGTCTACTCTTAATGACAGGGTTTGTGGTCCCTAATGTTAAAGATTTTGTTTGATATAAAAATTATTTACAATGAGTTTGTAGCTTTTTATAGGCAGAAAAATTAAAATGCCCTCAAATTTCTGGTTTGTAGGGGGAAAACCTGGATAAAGAGTCGCACGAATAAGGGTAAAATATAATGGTGAAGACAGACACATGAATAGTACTGTACAACTTTCAAATGACGAACTTGATCGAAATTAATTAATTTGAATTATTTATTTTATAAAACAATCCTATTATTTTATCTAATTTGCATATTTGGACAAGTTAGAATTTTGGTGTTGCCACCTTAAGTTATTCTTGAACGTAAGGGGTTGGTTGTTTTGATTCGTCAAATAGAAATTGATTAAAATAATATGACAGTTATTTCTTCCCGTACAAAAATCTGAAATTTCTACTAAAACTAACGTTTTAATGTCATCAAATATAGTAGGGGGCATGTTTTGGGACACCCTGTGCAGTATATAAATATAGACATATACAAAGAGTTACTAATTCACGCATATTTCACTAATTTGGTTAGTTAATGTAGTTGCGTTGTTAGTTGGTTGAAGGGTTATGGGCATAAAAAAATACTATCGAGTTTTTTGATAATATGTAGAAAACCTTTTTACAGCTTTTTCAAATCACTCTTTATAGTCTTTGAAATAGTCGTAAATCAGTGATCTGTCCACCATCTTGGATTGCTGTGGATATGTATGAATTGCGTCACAACCAATGGTCATTGTGTACAAAATTGTAGTTTGGTCACTATTTCAAATAGCAAATTGACTGACAACATTTTAAACGTCTGCTAATTTGATTGAAAATTGGATGAGAAGTTGGCAAACGTTTGTCCTGTTTTGCCAGGCAGACTAAACTGAATTCGTAATGGCCATTTGCATTATAGACTAAATTTTGATCTAGACAACAATTTCATCATAGCTTGAAAGAGCATCACAAAATTAGTAATATTCTAAAGTTTCGTTGCGAAATGTTGTAAAATGCGGATAATATAGCCATGCGAAGTTTGCCGTTTTTCAGTTATTTAGTATTACGCACGGGAAATTGACAGCCCAATCGGGTGTTGGGGCATCAATTTCCTGTTTGTAATACAAAATGACTGAAAAACGGCAAACTTCGCATGGCTAATCATCCGCATTTTACAACATTTCGCAACGAAACTTTGGAATATTCCTAATTTTGTGATGCTCTTTCAAGCTGTGCTGAAATTTTTGTCTAGATCAAAATTTAGTCTATAATGCAAATGGTCCATTAGCTCATTTTATAATTTATTCATGGTACATAACTTAAACCTCTGGCGGAGGTATGCAGTTTCCGAATGCCCTCGTGTTACCTTTTGCTTTGCACTCTCTTGTTGCCTGGGCAGATAATTTGGTGGCCTTTCAAACGAGGACAATTTCTTAGACTTTTTACGTTCAACACGTTGCAGATGTTCGCGAGCACGTTCCACGACTTCCGTTGAAGCTTCTTCAATAAATACCATTTCCTCCATTCTCTTCTTTACCGCGTTCATATGTTCGTAGACGTCCAAGTCGTCGAAAGCTTTGAGATTTGTGCGGTTGAGTTGTTTGTCTAGGGTTTTGACAACTCTTTGGTAGGTTTTATCTCCCCGTAGAAATCCCTCAGCCACTGTTATTGTGATGTCCAGTGTCGTTGGAACATTCAGGCATACCTTAAAATGGTAGAATGGTTGAAATTTGGTTAAATATATGGCCATAATTCCAGTGGTGTAGCCAGAACGATAATTGGGGGGGGGGGCATATTCATATATTCGTGTTCTGCTTTATTAATTTCTTTTGAAATCAATTTTTTTATGGTATGTGAACACGAATATATGAATATGCCTAATTATCGTTCTGGCTACGCCACTGCATAATTCGTTCTGCTTCAGTCTTTTTTAAAGGAAGAACATGTTGATATCAAGTATAAATAAAGTTGATTTAGTTTAGGTTTCCTCCTAGTAATCCAGGTTGAAGTTGTTCTCATAATCTTACTATTTTCTTGCCAAGATCGTTATTGTCCATTTCAAATCACTTTTCAACGCCCGGGTCCCAAGTTCGTTGCGAACTTGCCAATTACGTTTCCGAGTTCGGAAATTAGGCGCAAACTTCGCAACAAAGTTCGCAAGTGCATTTCAATGTTTGAACTTCGTTTGTAAACAAATGTTCATATCCAATAATAATAACCAATTCACTGCTTTAGCCCACTGGACCAAGAACTTTCCATTAAATTGTTAATTTCAATTTGAACTATGAACATTTGTTTGCAATAGTTCAAACATTGAAATGTTACTTGGAAACCTTGTTGCGAAGTTCACGCTCAATTTTTGAACTTAGAAACGTAATTGGCAAGTTTGCAACGAACTTGGGAACCGCGCGTTGAAAAGTGACTTGAAATCGCTGATGTAATCAGTGCTTGAAATCGACAATAAGTGTTGTAAAAATATTTGTACACATTTCTCCCAATATGGTTGATCAATTTTTAACCACTGTCTTTCAAATCATGCCATGACCCTGCCAAGAATTCGCAACGGTCTCGCAATCACTGCACCATGATCTTGTTACAATCTCGCCGTGACCTTTGAAGAAATGGCCCTTAAGTTAGTTTAGTTTGAACAAAACACTAAATATACACCTACCTTTTCTTCAAGGTTGGAACACACAGTTGTAACAATTACGTCGCTTTCTTGTGTTTCTTCAATGGCTGTCATCTGACCCAAATCTGACAAATATGTCGAAGACGTCGAAGGCTTTCTCTTTCCAGGTACTGAACGCATTTGAATTTCCGCCCTTTTATCCAAAAAGCGAACCTTAGCCGGGAGTCCGAATTTTTTCTGAATCTCAGCCAAGTTGTAGGTATTTGAGTCCAACAATGGCACAAATACGGCAGTGGAATCAATATAAATCGACACATCTTGTGCAGTTGTAAGGTTTTTACAACGTAGCACGGATATTTTGCTGTCGATTTTTTTAATCTGTAGGATATCGTTGATTTTTAAAGTATCTATCGAATTATTATTCCAAGTTGAGCCTACTTCCATAACTCGAACGTATTTGATTTTCTGGTATGTTGTAGACAATTGATAAGCGGTCACTTTCGTGTCCCTACAGTCCATAGGTATCACCTCAGCTTTAAGCGGGCAGCTTGTAGGAACCACCACTGCATTACTATGAGGAACCTGGCATACTATTTTACTGGTCGTACGCAAAGTATGTAGAGTCAGAACTTGGTTTCTACCGAAAGTCGTCCGTTCAGTATCACCACAATAACCGCCTAGGACTAACACAACTTGGGGTAGCTCATACCGTTTGACAAAGTCAGCTAAGCTAAACTCTTGGTTACTCCAAACAAGTGACTGGCCAAGCCTATACTCTTGAGATACTGACATCTTGTAGTAGTAGTTCTAATAGCGATTTAACCCAGATCTTGGTATTCCAGACATTTTAATAGTTCAGTGTAGATTTCCTTTGGCCTTCAATTGTGAATTATCGATGTATTTCTCTGAAACACTTCTGTGCATGGGTCCACAATTACTGATAAAGTAATTAATAAATTAATTAGTCAATCTTTAACCACTAATCAATGAATTAATGAATGAATTAATTATAATTAATCAATTAGTTAATTATACCGCTAACGAATTGTTTGATTTTACAACTTTATTATAACAGCTTTTACACCATTCAAGTTTTGAAATATATTAAACAATTTATTATTAAACTTTGGTATTTAGCAAGGATTTAAGAAAGCAAATTAACCACTACTCACGTATTCACCAATCACCAAAGCAGTCTATTCAGATTTCGCGTTTGAAGTTTACGTTTGGCGTATAAATTTCATGCTTGAACTGCAACGAGGGCTTGTAGTCGTTAAAGCATGAAAATTATACGCCAAACGTAAACTTCAAACGCGAATTCTTAATTTACTGCTTTGGTGAATACATGTATGACTAGTGAGTAGTGGTTAATTTGCTTTCTTAAATTAAATCATTGCTAAATACCACAAGTTTAATCAATGTTTAATATATTTCAGAACTGGTGTAAAAGCTGTTATAATAAAGTTGTAAAATCAAACACTTCGTTAGCGGTTTGACGTTTGCCGTAAACGTCAAACAAAAGGTCTCTAATATAAAATAAACGTGATGTTTAAACCCACAAACACCAAACAAGTATATTTTGTGATATGCAGTCATACAGCCAAGGAACTATAATTAACACCTACACAATTATACACAACAATTTATTGCGACAGAAGTCACAGAATAGCTTGGTTCACCTGTTGTGCCACAAGCACAATGGCTAGTGCCTATTGAGTTCTTGACTTTGGTCTCTACCAAACACACTAGAGAGGTTTAGATTTGATTCAGTTCCACTACCGTTATGCATCTGATTGGTTAATGATCGACGCTTAATGGTGAAAATATGACTATTTTCAACATTTTTAACAGAAAACCTTGATATTATTGTCAGCATCGTATAAACTTTTAAGTGATCGTCAATGATATGCAGTATAAAATGCTCGCACATAAATTTGATCTAATAGAAACTATTTTGCGGAACATGGCTCGCTGCCATGTGTGACTCGAATATTTCGGGTGCCTCACATGGCTCGCTGACCTATCCATTCCAAGCTACTTTGTAGCTGGAAGTAGCTTCAAATATCGTTTTGAATGTCCTTGATGAGAATGTACTTGAATAGCGCCAGATTTGATTTATTTAACCTGGCTAGACTATCGATCCACAATTTGCCCAGACTGTCTTTGCAGAAAAATATATATTACAGACGTAAGTAGAAATTATTATCTGTAGGAAATATACCTGGAACCTTTTTCAAATTATTTTGTCTAATTGTGATAGATCTAATACACTGTCTAATTCGACACTATTACCTTCTAGGGGCTGTTCATATGGAGCCAGGCTGGCCTGGTTAACTAGGATGATTCGTTTAATAAAGCTCTTGTCACGGCTTTCATAAACATCCAAAATGACATTTCAAATGTTTAATTCCAGTGACATTAGTCATTATAAAGTTTATACAAACGATCTTTTATGGTCAGGAAGAAATTTTCGACTGTGACACGATTCATCCCTGCTTATATGAACAGCCTAAATCAACGCTATCGAGAAGGCAATGTATTATAGATACATGTACAAACTATATACAACATTTATTCAATCAGTTTCAAAGAATTCACTTTCTTCGGATACATCTAAGAAACAGTCGAATTTAATATAAAAAGTATCTTTACTTACCCAGAGCGCCAGAGTTGCGATGGTATTGGAGGTAACGCGCACTCGTCTGTCAATATGCAACTGAGAATACAATTTTATCTTTTCCAAATCAGTCGAGTTTTACCTAGTAAATCTTCGCCAGAAAATGGTGATAGTCTCTTTCAGATATGAATATCCTATGATAGGCCCGAATTCGATTATATATCTAACAGAGTACAAGAATGGCGCTCTAAGAAACTTGTCGAAACTTGAAAGTATGTACTATACACGTAAGCACGCAGAGATAAATATTCGTCAAATCAAACAAATATAGCACAGTCCGACTCAACCAATGAACAAGCACTTCTTTGCCTTACATTAAACGTATATTCATAACGGTATTCCTATAATTTTGTAAGGATGTTTACAGCAGGCACATCGAGAGGAAATATTTGGCGATTCAAACGAACAACCTAGCATATTCTCACAAGCTTTCGAATAATGTAGGAAAATTCCTGCGATTGCTAATGAACCTTAAAACATTCTTGCAAAATTGGGCGTGAAATTATTCGCAGCACGCAACATTTTCCAAATAAAAATTCAATAACCGAATCAGTGTCAAATTACATCCGACTGGTTGTCGGATTGGATCCGACAACCTCGTTCCCAGGCTCTTTGCTCTTGGGAAGCAAAGACCCTGGTCGGGGCTGATGACGTCACACCCAGATTCTGGGGGTAAACGTATAATATGACTATGGGTCGGGAGGTAGAGGAGCGTGTTTGTTGCGTTTTGAAAATTGCAACTTTATGTGTTATAATTTCGGGTGATAAAAATGTAATTTGCAACAAGAGATTGTGAAAAGAACGTTCTAGATTCGTACTGATCATGACAAGACTTCCTGCTATACTGAATGTCATCAATAATAAGTGTTGCGGTACATTTCAAGCGAGAAGCTGGATCATATTTCACTTGCAAGGAAAACACTCCACACGCGCCTGGCTTGCGAAGTTTAGCACGTATCGCCGTAGAAACATACATATCTTCTACACAGACTGATCGATCAAACGGTATTAAACGAACGATATAG